TCGTAAGTTTACCTAAAAGTCTCCATCATGCAATAAATGGTCAATTTTGAAATGAAATGTAATGGCAAAAGAAGGAGTAAGGCACCCCACTCCTAATGAACGTTCCTATTGTCCTTTCGTATGATGGAGGAAGGGCTGCAAGTAATTGCCTTTTCCCTACTCGCCATAGTTTCATTTGTATGCAGGTTTCTTGGTTATCTCAAACACACGTTTCTTACCTAGAAAACGGTGTATTAAAATTCAGTCCAAAATATTATGCGCTTCTTCAGAACTCATCTCTATTTCGAAGGGAACTCGTTCCACTCGACCTTCATTCTACTTTTCGTGCACTTTTCTTCATCCGCTGTCACTGCTGTAGGAAAAATTTTGTGTGGATTCGATAGCAAGGCTTTCTATCCTTCCTACGAGGGCCTTGAGCTTCCAACTATTTAGCTTACAGGAGTAAAAGTTCTGTACCTCTGTAGGATAAAAGATATCCAAAGTTCTCATTGTATTCCTACAAAATTCTGTACGATTCAGAATTATTAAAGGAATATAATTGCGAGAAGAAGAAGAAATTTAATCGCTGGGACAACACTTTTATTCGCCTGACGTTTCGACATCTGTCGCGGATTCTTCATCAGACACATAATCAAAAAGCAATAGCAGAAACGGGTCGGCATTCACTTTCAAACCTTCTCCTCATTGCTTAATCTAATTAGAAAATGATTTACGTTGTTAAGGGCTACTTCCTATACCGTTAGAATGTGTTTATCCTGGATTCCACAAGGCGTTATATCCTGTACATCGATGACTGGGTCTTTTTAAATGTGAAACGTCTTACGAGCAAGAAAAAAGTGTCAGTTATTTTGGTGGCTTACAGACGTCGATGTGAATCAAGGATGTTTTCAGTCCTACATATCTTAGCAGACATTTCCTCTCCTGAAACGTTTTACTACTTCCACGCCTCCTTGAAATTATCATTGCAAACAGACGCGCAGAGAAGCGGTGACCACTTGTGTGTTGCCCACATTGGAAGCAGAAACACCCTGGAAAGTCAAGAATCGTCCATAGACTGATCTTTGTTGTTGTTTATTTCGTCTTTGCACAGATGGCGAAAACGGATGACAATTGGTTGGAACAGACCATAGATATGGCTACTAGAAACGAACTAGTACACATGAACGTTGAAACGGAGCGAATGAACTACAAGACACAGAGCTCTAAACTCGTCTGGGATAAGAATCCGGTCAAAGAACGGGTGAGTTATTTCTAACCCTGA